GTGGAGAGCGCCTCCACTCGCACATTTCATTTTGTACACCACCGCATCTTTTGTGTAATTAAATGCTGTTAACTTTTATAAGCTTCCCTTGACTCTTTTCAGTCTCTCCTGCCTTCAGGGTTCTAGAATTGCTTATGACTACTACTCTTACTGTTTAACATTTTGGGTTACTTAATGTTACTTCATATTAAGGCTAATACAAATGACAAGGCTGTAATGCTAACTCACGTGCTAGCTACTAGCTAGGTAGCTAACTTGATCCAGCCCCTCCTGGTCCTTTCATCAGACGGGAAGCGAAAGAACGAGCAAGACCCATTGCTGGTATGATAACAACCTGGTACTAAGCACACAGGCATCTTGTTAAAGTTATCTTATCTTAGCCAGATATAGATATCTTAAGTGGAGGAAAACAATTGTGACATCACTTAAGCCACTCTGGGATTTGTACTCTTTCTAGTTGCGTATTTTTCATAGTCTTATATTTCAACAGTTTTACGACAAACTTTGACTTTTTTGACATGGAAATAATTGTTTAAGATTGACAAACATCATATGTGTAATTCATGGCACAATTCGAACGGGATCGAAAGATAAGTTTTCTCTCTCCATTGACTTCAATACATAATTTTTCTGAAATAAGGTCCCATGGACCGGAAGTACATGGGCGTGACTTCGCCACTCTATATATGTTCGGCTGGCAGAGGGTGCGGCCATAGCTCTGGGCGTGGCTACTGGGTATCGCTACGTAGCGATACCCAGGAAGAAAAAAATTGGAAAATGAGAAATCTCCAACGAGGTGTTTTGGGGAGGTATTTTCTGTGTTTGAGTTTTACTCCCTACAGGGTGTACTTTGAGGGTTTTTGACTCTGCAGACCGTTTACATGCATAACAACCTTCAAAACACACAAGGGGACGGGTATAACCGGAAAAGCATTACATGACAATGCTCTGCTGTCTCCAACAAATGTAATTTTTTATTTTACAGATTCAAAAAGGAAGAAGATGGGTGCCGCACCCATCTTAACCATTTTGGTGATGTTTTTGGGTAAGTTAGTAATGAGAGTAACACATAGTAGAAAGACAGTGATTAATGCAAGTTTGTTTATTTCAAACCAACTAAAACATTTTCTACAAAAGGTGCCATTGAGTTTGCTGGTGCATCAACAACAACTGATGGATCATTTACAAAAGAGGCTCCATTAACACTGCATACATCATCAAAAACTGTTGCCTCACCAACAACAGGCAGTTCAATGTCTACGGGAGATTCAGCAACTGTCAGTGGGTCAACAATGACTAAGGGATCAATAACAACAACAACAGCACCATCAACACTGCATGGATCATCAGAAACTGGTGCCTCACCAAGATCAGGGGGGTCAACAACTCCTGGAGGTTCAGCAACAACAGGCAATTCAACAACTCCTGGAGGTTCAGCAACAACAGGCAATTCAACAATTCCTGGAAGTTCAGCAACAACAGGCAATTCAACAACTCCTGGAGGTTCAGCAACAACAGGCAATTCAACAATTCCTGGAAGTTCAGCAACAACAGGCGGTTCAACTATTACTGGACCAATGACAACTGGATTTACCCCGACTTCCTCACCAGTTGTTATTCTCGCAGCAACCTTGAAAGTAACATTTGAACCAGAACACAGGAATCAGAGCAGTGATAAATACAGAGAACTTGAAGCAAAAGTGGTAACAATGGTGAGCACATTTAAGAATTATTCACAACATTTAATGATGTCTTGAGAAACTCTTCCATTCTATTTGATTTCTTTTAACAGATATTCCAATTTTGCCGTGGTTCTTGTTTCAAATTTTTGTATCGTGCTTACAGTGCGACCTGATCTTCCGAGAGAGATTCCAGCCAATTTTCATCCGCACCTTTGTCATCGAGTTTCGGTAATCTTTAAACCCTTGCATCTATGACTTCAAATTCACTGACTCATAACTACAAAAAGTTAGACTGTGGCGTATCCTTAAATTAGGTCAAAGTACTAAATTCAAAGAATATAAGTTGTCATAAAGCAATATTGAAAACAGTTTTTCTTTCTTATACAATTATCATTTGACTTAAGCTTGTTCTTTTTCCATGAAAGGCCAATAACGGGAGGTGTGCAGGTAGAGGTGGGGCTCCTGTTCAGCGGCACAGTCCCACCTGCTGAATTAGTTGGTGAGACTTTAATAATTGCAGTGAATGACCCCAAAAACATCTACAGCTGTTTTCTGGATGAGAACTCCATCGCAGTTATTTGTGAGTCAACATTGAATACATAATCCTATATTACCCTACAGTAAGTTCTGGAAAGTCCATCAGCTCACATGTGCTTTTTGTCGTCAATCACTCATTTACAGCTCCAGTAGTACCAACAACAACTACCGGGCCAATGACAACTGGCTTTACTCTAGCTTCCTCACAAGTTGTGGTTCTCACAGCAACCTTGGAAAAGCCATTTGTAAAAGAACTCAAAAACCGCACCAGTGAACAGTACAGAGAACTTGAAAGACAAGTGGTAACAACGGTGAGCAAACTTGGGTCATTCACAACAGTTGATGCTGTCTTTAGTAACTCTTCCATTCTGTGTGATTTCTTTTAACTCCCATACATCTTTTCACTGTGTTACATGTTTCTAATTTTGGTATCCTTCTTACAGTGCGACCTAATCTTCAGAGAAAGATTCTGGCTCATTTTCATCCGCACCTTTGTCATCGAGTTTCGGTAATCTTTCAAACCTTGACTTCAATTGAACTCACTCATAACTAGACAAATGTGACTGTGGCGTATAGTCCAACAATCTGTCAAATCATTGTAATCTAAGACTATACGTTTTTAATAGGGCAATAAGGAAAATGTGCTTTATTCTTATAAAATTATCAATTGACTGTCATTTGTTATTTTTTCATGAAAGGCCAATAAAGGGAAAAGTGGAGATAGAGGTGGGGCTCGAGTTCAACACAACGACTGATCAAAACCCCAGCAGCCGATGTGGTTGTCGATACCATAACGGAAGCCTTGAATAACACCAACAACACCTTCAACCTGACTCTTGATCCAAAATCCATCACAGTTATTCGTGAGTCAACATTGAATACATGAACCTATATTACCCTACAGTAAGCGCTGGAAAGTCCATCAGCTAACATGTGCTTTTTGTCGTCAATCACTCATTTACA